ACACAAGACATAGACAAAAAATCTTTACCGCACGTGGCAGTTTCAAATAGAGCATCATGCACAAGGTGCTGGGGGTAAAAAGCTGTGCAAACTCGGACAAACTCCCTGTGCTTGGGGATTCGGGACAGCAAGTAAGATGCCAGTCGGCCGGGCATTGCCCAGCGCGGCAGAGAAGGAAGTACTGCCTGTTTGAGAGGCCTCATAGAGGTGAATTTGAGTTAAACCTGAAGGAGGTAAGGACGGGAGCCGTGGGACCTTGGGGAATGGGCTCCTGGGAAGATGGCAGCCGGCCAGGAGGTGGCAGAGGAGGGGCCGCTTCCGTCCCTTGGTTAGGGTAGAGCTGCCGGGATGGACACAGGTCTGGGAGCTGGTCCTTCTGTCCCTAGGCCAGACAAGGGAGGGCAAGACGCGTGACCCTAGTTTATAAGGTGGATTGAGTAACAGTGTTCTTTTGTTTGTTTATTTGTGGTTTGTTTGTTTCTTTGGTACCGGGGATCGAACTCGGATCCCTGTGCTTGCAAGGCAGGCGGTGGAAACATTCAGCTAAATCCCCGGCCCTATAAGGTGGATTGAGAAGCGTGTGTTAGACAGCATGCACAGCTGGGGAAGGGTGGACGGCGTCTGGTCTCCAGGCACCTGGACAGTGACACCTCCGCCTACACTTGTTTAGCCTCAGCTGCCCGATCTGTGAAATGGGGACACCAGGGTCCCTGCCCGCTTGGCGATGCCTTTCCCTGTCAGGGTAGGGGGGACATAGGGCCTGTGTCCAGCTGGGCTGCCTCTTGCTCTGAGCCCCCCACATCTGTGCATGCAGCTCCCCCAGGGCGGCACGATACTGCCTGGAACTGGTTTCGTGACTCCTCGGGGGTGGGATGGTGTGGAACACAGAGGCCCTAGGCAGGCACTCAAACTGCGCAATGCACAAGAATCCCATGGCTGCCAAATGCAGATTCCTGGGCCTCATCCTCCACGCCTGTGAGGTGGAACGGTACCAGGCCCCAGGAATCTCCCTGAAACAAGTGCCGCCCTCCCACAGAATCGGACTCTGCTCCCATTTGTAGGAAAAGCTGTGTGTCCCTTGAGAAAGAGGTGGATCTTTCTGGGACCCAGGCTGTGGGGATCTCCCGTTCCGCCCAGCAGGTGGAGCCTGTCATGGGACTCGGGCGTCAGGTGGGGCAGGGCGCCGCTTCTGGAGATGAGTGACCGAGGACCACCTTCCAGGCTGTGATGGGCAGGAGTTGGGCGGCACTGGCCTCCTCCTGCCTTCCCCGCCAGCTCACACACTTCCCGCTCCAGCTGGGGCTCGTAACCAGGGCGTCTGGCCCTGTCCCTTCCCAGCTGTGCGGCCCAGGCTCGGTCAGGTTGGCCTCTTGGTCCTCAGTTTCCACATCTGGGAAAGAGGACTCACTCTTACTATGCAGCTCGGTGGGGCAGGGTGCACACAGCACTGCAGGAGGGCACGAGGTGACAGCCACTGTCTCCCCAGGTCCGGCGGGAGGCGGATGGCCAAGGTGGTGAGAGACTTCCTGGAGGCCCAGCAGGTGCAGGCGCCCGTGGAGCTCTACTCAGACTGGTTGTCCGTGGGCCACGTGGACGAGTTCCTGAGTTTTGTGCCCACCTCTGACCCGAAGGTGTGTCCCGTCCCCCCGCCCCCCACCACGGTGGCCTCAACCTGAGCTGCTTCTGTCCCTGCCTGGCCTGATGGTGCCCCTAGATCTGGCTCCACCCCATGTGCAGGGGCTGAGACTGGGGTGGGGGTGCCTGGAGGAGGCGAGTGTGTACTCAGACCCAACTTCCTCTGCCAAGAGCCAGCAACATTGGTAATAATGGGCAAATTTACTGAGCACCTACTACATGCTTCGTGCACTCGGTCCTCCACCAAGCCCAGGAAGTGGTGCTGTTATTATTGGCCCCCACTTACAGGTAAGGACACTGAGGCTCAAAGGGCTGTTAACTTACCCAAGCTCACACTTGCAGGTGGCAGGGTAGGATTCAAACCCAGATGTGAGCGCTGGTCTCTGCTAACTCCTGGGCTCTACTGCCTCGCAGAGGGCACTGGGGAGGGCATGGCCCTCAGGGAGCAAGTAGGCTGCTGCTTCCAGGTCAGCAAGGAGCTCTGACGGGCAGGCACAGGGTGCCGCTGGAGCGTGTGCCAAGCTCTGCCTGTGCCCGGGAAGGGGACTGCAGCACTGCGGCTTGAAAGCAGAAATAGGGGCTCTCCAGCGGGCAGCGTGGGAAGGGCCCCGGCGGGCTGGGCATCGCCCACAGTGTTGTGGCCGGTGGTGGCACTGAGGGCAGAAGGGAGCCCCACACGTATGTAGTCAGGCTCCTGAACTCTGACGCTGGCCTGGCCTGCGCTGCCCTCCCTCCGTGCAGGGCTTCCGGATGCTCCTGGCCAGCCCCAGCGCCTGCCTTAGGCTGTTTCAGGAAAAGAAAGAGGAGGGCTACGGGGAGGTGGCCCAGTTTGCTGGTGAGTGGCGTGGGCCAGCTCCCTAGGGGAGATCCTGCCCTTTCATCTCCGGCCCAACCACTGGGGATGCCCTTCAAGGCTCCACCCAGGCTGCTCTGGAGACTGAACGATGCCCTTGGGTGCTTGGGGATGTGGGATGAAAATGCTTTGGCCTTTCCTGGGTCAGGGGTGGGAAACTGAGAGCCCCAGGTCCTTGGATGGGGAAAGCAGTTCCCATCCACACCTGAGGAGAGGATGTGGCCTTTCCCATGGCTCCCAGGTTCACATCCTGGTCTTAGCATCGGCTGGCTGTGACCTCAACCACAGGGAGTTCTGAACCTCTCCAGCCTCAGTTTCCTTTTCTCATGAGTGGAGGGATAATTAACTGCTCCCAGAACTGTTTTAAAGATCAATGATCAAATAACTAGGCTTCCCAGAGCACTGTGGGTGTTCAGAAATGGTAGCCACGCTGTAATTATTGGGCCCCAAGTCCCAAAGTCCCTTCCCAGGGTCCCTGACCTGCCACTGGGCTGTACCTGCAGCCTCTGGCTTCCACCGTGCTGGTTTCTGACCTTGGCATGGGCAAGAGGAACATCCTGCCCTGGGCTTTGTCACCTCAGGGTGAGGTGGCCCCGGGGAAGGATTCCCGGGCCCTGCACCCTCTTTCTCTTACAGGGTTAAGACACAAGGCAAGGAGGAGCATCAACGAGATGCTGGCAGACAGACACCTGAGGAACGACAGCCTCCAGGTCCAGGTGAGGGACGTGCAGCCTGGCACTGCCCAGGGGTGGGCACCGGCCTGGGTCTGTGCTTGTCCTGGAGCTGTGGGGAGGCCGAGGCACCAGGGACTCCACGACTGAGGCAAAGGCAGCCATGCACCGGGAGCCCCGGCCCTGCCGGGTGGTGCGGGAGATGCACCGTTCCCAGGGCCACAGGTCTGGCTTCCCCTCCGGAAGTGTGGCGAGTGAGGGACGGGAAAAGGAGGAAGGGGTCTGGTGGGGAGCAGTGCAGAAAGTGGGGGCCCAGGGACTCCGGCAGGGCTGGGGCTCCCCCCGTCGCGATGCCTGCTGTGTGCCTGGCACAGGGTGTGGTGCCACAGTAGCCCCGGCCCCTCCTGGTGGCCGACACCTCCCCTGAGGGCCGAGACGGGCAGTGGCACAAGCCACGCTGCGGCTGGAACTGGGCCAGTGTGGCAAAGTGATAGGGACTTGGAACTGGAGACTGCCCAGGCCCGGCCCCAGCCCTGCCCCTTCCTAGCACTGTGCTGTGTGCCTCACTTCCGCGGCTAAGCAAGCTTTCGTTTCCCCACCTTGGGATCACAGTGGCCCCTGTCTCAGAGCCGAACGAGGCCCTGAGGAGCCAACAGGCACTCAGGGCCACTGAGGTCCGGCTGACCCGGGGCTGCCACCCGCTTCCTCCGCAGAAATGCATCGACTGGAACCGGGAGGTGCTGAAGCGGGAGCTGGGCCTGGTGGAGGGTGACATCATCGACGTCCCGCAGCTCTTCTCCCTGAAGGGCGTCTACGCCGAGGCCTTCTTCCCTGACATGGTGAGTGAGAGCCCGGCTCAAATCCCGCGGGGTGGGCGGTAGGGGCAGTTCTGTCCGTGTCCCCAGTGGGGTCCAACTTCCTGCCCTGGGGCACCTTTGACTGCGCAGTGAGGGACCTGGCAGGCAAGGCCCGGTGCTCGGCACACCCTGCGGGGCACGGCGCAGTCCCCGCCACACCGGCTTTGCTTAAGCCACGCTCCACGTGGAAAAACGGCAGCGTGGTTTGGTGGGAAGTGATTTGGGCTCCTGAGTTGGGCAGGCGGGGCTGGAGGAGGCCCTGATGGGCAGATGAGCAGAGGCGACCTCACCCGGGTGGCACCCAGGAGGGGCCGGAACAACGCTATGGGTGCAGCCCGGCCTGGGTGCCCACTGCTCTGAGGAAGGGGTTGGGCCATCCCTGTGCTGCCAGACGCGGAGCGCCATCTCTGGGTCTTGCCGTGCAGTCCAGGCTGGCCTTGAACTCATGGCCAAACTCCTGCCTCAGCCTCCCAGAGTGCTGGGATTACAAGTATGAGCCACCACACCCCACTTAAGGTGGTTTAGTTTTGATTTAATTTTAATTTTGATTTTGATTTAAGGAGCCGCATGGCTAGTGGCTGCTGTTCAGGGCAGCAGAGCTCTAAGGGATCATTGGTCCCTTGCTCTGCTGAGGGTGGGGAGGCCGAGGCTGAGCCCACGACCTTCGCCCTCCCTGGGCTGTGGCTGTGGCGACTCCTCCCTGGCAGACACGGCCTTTGAGTGGTTCCTGGCTGCTGTCCAGGCTCCCCTGTGGGTCCCGTCTGTCCTCACCAGAAAGGTGTTCGGGGCACGCTCAGTAACCCTGTGTGTCAGGCGGGGAGACCAAGGTTCAGAGGACAGTGGGCGTCTTGGTCGAGGTGGGCCCCTCACCAGGAGAGGCACCCAGGACGTGTCCCCCTCGGACACCTCGGGCAGCCCCTTTGCACCTCATGCCGTCACTCTGGGGCTGAGAGTCCCCGAGAAGTTGTCACAATACCTGTCCAGAGGACTGTCCTTCCCCAGGATGAGGGCCCAAGCCACCAAGGAGAGCAGAGGCCCCACCACCAAAAAACTCAGCATCTTCCAGTCCTGTCCCCCTACTCCTCAGCCCCACAGGGGGCCCAGTTCCAGCAAAGGGCCAACAGGATGGACTTTGGCATGAGTCAGATCCAAGTTTAAAGTTTCGTCTCACCGCTCTCTGGCTGTGTGGTCCTGATCGTGTTAATTAACAGTCTGAGCCATAACCGCAGAGGGAGGCCGTGAGCTTTAGTAATGATGCAGCTGACACACAGAAGATGCTCAAAAATGGTAACGTGATCAGGGCTGCCAAAGACAGTTGAGTAGGTTGGGCACTGCAGAAGCACCCCTGCCCTGTTCACCCCACGGTTGCTCTGGATTGTTTGTTTGTCTTTGGTTTTTTGAGACAGGGTCTCACCATGTAGTTGAGACTGAACTGGAACTCACTGTGTAGCCCAGGCTGGTCTTGAACTCACAGCGACCCTCCTGCTTCAGCCTCCCGAGTGCTGGGATTACAGCACCACCATGCCCGGCTCCACGGTCGCTCTGTATATTTGTTGTACAAGTTTCAGGCAGCTGGCAATAAAACAATTGACAGTTTTCTGATAGATGGAAGAAAGGGTGACTTTGGTACAATTTGGGGGGGGACCGGGGATCGAACTCGGGACCTTGCACTTGTGAGGCAGGCACTGAGCCAAATCCCTGGCCCCGACTGGTACCCATATCAATCCTGCCTTCTGACCACGCATCTGTTCCTCCTCTGCTGTCACAGCCCTCGTTCTTGAGTGGTCGTGCGTCCCGGAGGCCCGGGGGTCCTGGTGAAGATGTCAGGCCCCGTGGATGGGTGGCCAGAGCCAGCCCAGCCTCCCTCTTGCCTTCTGTCTTCTGCAGGTGAACATGGTGGTGCTGGGCAAGCACCTGGGCATCCCCAAGCCCTTCGGGCCGGTCATCAACGGCCGCTGCTGCCTGGAGGAGAGGGTGCGCTCGCTGCTGGAGCCGCTGGGCCTCCACTGCACCTTCATCGACGACTTCACCCCCTACCACCTGCTGCAGGGCGAGATTCACTGCGGCACCAACGTGCGCCGGAAGCCCTTCGACTTCAAGTGGTGGCACGCGGTGCCCTGAGCCCTCGCCCACCTGCCGTCCCCTCTGCCCTCCTGCTGGGCTACCCTACCCGGCAAGGACGAGACACACACCGGCCTCCCTCCTCTGGGGGGCCCTTGGCACTCCCACCTCAGTGCCTGCAAGCATGCGGGCCACGGTGGGCACTGGGTTTCAGGGGTGAACGCCGCCCTGCCTGGCCCAAGGGTGACTGACCCCGTCTTCCCCTCACCTTCCTCAGCCATGGCCCCAGAGGTCCGAGGCCTGTAGCCTTTGCATGAACAAGCTGGCTTCAAACGGCTCCCTTCTATCTGGACACCTTATCGGGGCTCAGGAAGAGTGGGGTTGGGTCTGCACCAGGAGTGGGAGCTGATCCCTTAGCGTCTGCTGTGAGGACGCCAGTTCCCGGCAGCCTATGGCTCTCATCAGACCAGGAAGAGAGATCTGGGCACCCTCTTTCCAAAGGGGACCCAGGCGATGACCCCCAGTGCCCTTCAGCTGTAGGAAGCAAACAGGGACAGGAAACCCCGGTGTCTGAGGACTTGTTTTTTAAAAAGGAGGCAACGAAACCCCTTTAATATCTGCCTCAGACCTCAAAGGGTGCTTGTTACCTGTCTGGAAGCCTTTAATTAGGAGAGCTGGCTGCTTCCGGCCTCAAAGTGCTGAGCAGTGGAGAGGGACTTAGGGCGACTGAGTAGGGAGCCTGGGGAGGAGGCCAGAGCGGCAGAGGAAGCTGGGCAGGGACCTCCAGGCCTGCAGGCTTCTGTGCCCTGGGACCTCCAGGGCTTTGGCATTTGGACCCCTCACCTGCAGGCAGCTGGCTGTTCCGGATGTAGGGGTGTGGCCCAGATGTTAGAAGAGGGTGGGGGACCATTAGGTTATCTCTGAAGGTGGGGCTTAATTCCCTTTAATAGTCTGTCATTATCCTCTTCTGCAGGCAGGGGAGGAGAAGGCTGGTCTGCTGCCCCTCGGCAGCCTGGGGCCCCACACGCACAAGCACACACACACATTCGCACAAGTGTGTGCCACTTTGCTGTGAGCAGCTCCCCATGGCAGACCAGGTCCCTGCTACAGGAGGACACACAGCTGCTCACCAGGTTAATAGCCCCATGAGGCCACAGGGCCTTTGTGGCTGCAGCGCTGGGCAGGAGGGAGACAGCCAACCTCCTCCCTCCTGGCTGGGGGCTGTGGCCGCTGTTAGTCCCGAACCTCTGCCTGTCTGCATTTGTGGGGACCCTGAAGAGTCCTCAGACCGAACCGGTTGTTGTCACTCTTTTGGGCCCGGAATAAAGGCTTTTGTGGAACTGCCTTGGATAACATGGGTGGGAACCTGGATCCTACCCTGCCTGAAGGTTCCCAGGCCCCTTTGCAAACACTTGCTCTGACCTGGCACCTTCCTGTCAGGATCAGGACCCCGCTGAGGCTGAGCTGTGCAGAAGGAGCTGAGGATGTGGGTCGGGATCAGAGCCTCCTGAGTAAAGGGTCCTGGGTGGGAGAGGAGCTGATGTGCAGAGAGATCGGGAGTTGTGAGGCTCTGGAGTTACTGCCGGGGCCACTGGGCTCCTGGTGTCCTGCTAAGAGTGTTCTGGTGACCAGGCACCTCCTTTCTGATCAATAAAAACATCGGCATTCATTTCCTTTGCTTGCGTGCTGGGCTGCGGGAGGAGGGCACACGGGTTAGGGCTCTGCCCACCCCACCACCAGCTTAGCCTGGCTTGGGGGGCCAACCCCTGCCGGGCCCATCCAGCCAGGAGCGCCTGAGTGCCCGTGCAGGGTGAGTGGTGGGCTGCTGAGTCAGCCGAGCCCTGGCTCCACACATGCCCAGTGCCCTGGGGTCAACTGTCCAGCCGAGATGGGTATCGGGAAGGAATGCGTCCTACCTCTTCCACTCTCGCCTCCCCTGGGCTATCGTGGGGTGCAGAAGGGAGGTGGGGAGAGCCGGGTCCTGTTGGCTATGACTCCTCAGGGCTGCAGCAGGGCCCAGGTCACCACAGTTCCATGCGGCCCTGCTGTGGAACCTTCGAGGGACCGGATTTCAGGGACCTCAAAACATCACCCCTCTCTGCTTCTCCACTGTTGCTCAGATGACGCCCTTTGATGCCCAACCACCACTGGCTTCATTTTAGTTTTTGCTACGGACTAAGAGGCCAGAAGTTGCTGCCCGCCAGTCACTGGCACCTTAGTGTGGACAAACCATGGACCTGTTTCTAAAGGCTGCTATTAATGTGGGGAGTGAAGGCCGAGATCTACTTCCAGGGAGAGACTGGGTCTGAGCAGGAGGCCAGTCTGTGTCCAGCACAGTGGCCCAGGGAAAACCTTCACATTCTGCACCTGGTCCCCAGTATGCTCCAAGCCAGGCAAGGGAGATGCAGGCATCCTCCTGAGCTCTACCTCTTGCCTCGAGCTGAGCCAGCCACCAGGCCATTTTACTGGTGAAAAAAAAAAGTGAAGTTGTTTCTAGACCCAGAGGTCCCACAGCTTTCTGCAAAAAGAACATTTCTCCCAGAAATTAGGGTAGAGCAGCCCTGTCCCGGCAGGAGCCCCTCCCAGAGGCCCGTCTCAGGGAGGGAACCTCTGTTCAGCACCCCCACCTCCGCCAGGCAGGGCGCGCCCTCACCATTGCCTCTGCCAGGGCCGGCGGCGGTGAGTCACATGTTCTACAGATGAGGAAGCTGAGGCCTTGAGAGAGGAGACGCAGCCCCCAGCGCCACTTCACCTGCGCATGGTAAAGTGGATCTGAACCCCAGATCCCTCTCCCCAGAGCCCTTGTTCCTGCTGTTGCACGAGCCCAAACGGCCCTCGTTGCCTCAGTTTCCCCACCTGATAAGTGAGCTTCCTAGGCTGCTATTCTGAGTTCCTGTTGCCTAGAGACAATGTCCTCACCTCGGGTAAATAAATCCTCCTCACTTACTCCTTTTGGAGGTCTTGGCATCCACTAAGAACAGCAAAGGCTGTAAGGCAAGGCCCCGTTCCGAGTTAGAGCTCGCCCGATGCTGGCCCATCTTAGCCTCACAGCAGCCATTTCTCAGATGGGAACAGTGAGGCCCAGAGCAATAAAGTGACCCAAACAGGAAGTGGCTGGACGGAGCTGGCACCCACCCAGCCCTAAAGCCCACGCTCTAAAGAAAAGGGCCGAATCGCTTCTCAACCTTTTGGCTGAGATCAAGTGTAAAGAAAAAGGCTGAGTTTCCCAAGGTCATCAGAATGCTCTGAAGATGCTGGTTGTTCCTCTAACCAGCTGGGTCCGGGAGGAGCGGGCCTGGGAATCTGCATTTCCACCTCTCTCCACCCTAAACCATATTGCTTCAGAAAATGCAGGAAAAGAGGTCGAGGGAGCGACGAAGGGCCAAGATCAATTCCGTACATCTCTTCCGTCTTCCTCCCCTGCCCCTCACAATCCCAGTGCCCTGGGCAGGTGCCTGTGGGAACTTGCTCGCCTCGGAGCAAGAAATTAACTGCCGGGGCACCAGAGTGGGAGCAATGGGTTCATATGGAAATACCGGGTCCTCCCAGCCAGTCCTGAGCTCTTGGCCCTGGGAAGGGGCGGGCTTCCGGGACTGAAGCCAATAAGCTTGCAGCCTGTGCTGGAGGGGTGGGGCTCCGGACTTTTAAACCGCATCTCCAGGGCCCTCCTGGGCAGCGTTGTGTCTGGCGGCCAGAGCCCCGTCCGAGGCCAGCATGTCACTGCAGAGGATCGTGCGCGTGTCCCTGGAGCATCCCACCCATGCTGTGTGCGTGGCTGGCGTGGAGACCGTCGTGGACATATATGGGTAAGAGCCGGAGATCCTGGGGTTTGTGGGTCCTTGGTACTGTGACCCCTGCCAGTCTCTCTTCCCGGGAGCTGTGCGGAACCTCCTCGGGCCTCGGTCGGGCCTGGCCCGGCTGCCCACTTCTCAGCCTCGGCGTGGGTACAGCAGCCAGTCAAGGACACTTGGATCTTGGCGTTTGTTACCTGCATTTCCAGCCCTGAGTTGGGGGAGGCTGAGCGCGCCACAGTGTCTGAACTCTGCCCAGGGGCTTGGAAGTTGCCGTGTCCTGAAAGCTGTGCCGGGGGTAGGGGTGGGGGTGCTGTTTGAGGCACACAAGTATAGGGGAAGGTGTGCACCCACCCCTGCCCGCTGGTGAGCCTGCGAGCACAATGTAAATGATTTTAAAGCTCCCACCATGTACATAGCTCTCGCCAGGTGCCCGGTGCTGTTCGTGGAGTTGGCAGTCCCTGGAATTCAACTCTTGAACACAAATGCTTGAATCTCAGCCTGACAGCAGCTCGTGGCCTGGGCACATGGTTAGCGTCTTCTGATCTGACAGAGGGGTGAGGTGGGCTGTGCCGAGGGAAGCTGCTGCTGAGAGTCAGCACCAGGATTTGAGTCCACCCACCATCCGACCTGGAACGGAGGCTCTCGGCTGCAGCCCTTGAGGAGGAGGTCTCCAGCCATTCGGAGCCCTGAATTATGCCCCAGCTGTGTGCCAGGCTGTGCCTTCCTGGCCTGTGGCAGTAGGAGGTGGGGCCACACCCCCTTTCTCCTAGGAAGCCAAGGAGAGTTTGGGTCAGAGCTTAGAGTGGTTCTGGGAGCCAGCAGGGAGTTTTTTGAGGAGTCCGAGTCTGAGACTGTGCTGGGGACAGGTGACCAGGATGTCAGAAGAGGAGGGTGGCCGGGCGTGGTGGTGCATGCCTGTAATCCCAGCACTCAGGAGGCTGAGGCAGGAGGATTGCTGTGAGTTCGAGCCCAGCCTGGGCTACATAGTGAGTTCCAGGTCAGTCTCAACTACATAGTGAGACCCTGTCTCAAAAAACAAAAACAAAAACAGAAGAGGAGGGTGTAGGCCCTGTAGCTGTTGCCACCTCCCAGGCCCCCAGCCCTGTCCCTGAGCAGGTTCTCAACCTCAACCTGAGTTGTGTCGGAGGCTAAGCAGCATGAGCCTCTATTTACTCCCAGCCCTACTTGTGATGCCCACACATGTCCCCAGAAACTGCTGAGTATGTCTGGGGGGCAAAATCCCTCACTCATAGAGAGCAAGTACCCCAGACTGAGATCTAAGCATTGGCATGAACTTGGGCAGAAGCAGGATGGTCTCTGGGCACTGGTTGAGACGGGTGAGGTGCTCGCTTCGGCAGCTCGTGTACTAACACTGGATGAGCGGGGTGAGGAGCTGGTCCAGGGAAGGGACCACGGGGCAGCCCAGCCCAGCGAGGCACCAGGACCAAAAGCCTGGAGGGGCAGGAAGGGGACTTGGGGGCTCCGAAGGGGTGGGTAGGAGGGGAGAGGAGGGGCGCCTGCTGCCTGGCGCCATTGTCCGCTCCGGGGCTGTGTGCTGCAGGGTGATTCAGTGGCCCGGCCGCCTCACGCCCCAGGCAGATCTGTCTCCAGTTTGACCTGTCCTGGGAAGCTGGGGCTGCTCCTCCCCTGCTGAGCTTCCTTGAGGGTGGAGGACAGGTTGGGGCAACGAGGCCATAGTGGGTCAGCCACAGTGGTAGGCGCAGAGGAGGCTGGGAGTAGGGTGGGCATGGGGGTGTGCGGAGGCTCCAGTATCTTCAAACCAGGGCTTCCCCGGCCCCAGGGTCCAGAGCACCTGGGGCAGTAGAGCCCCTGGCCCACCTGGTCACTGGTGTTGCTTTAGGGGTCTGGGGGTGTCAGGCGTGGGAGACATAGTAGTGCATGGGCAGGCTCCGTCCCCGCCCCCTGAGAGCTCTGGGTGAGGCCCGGCCACTTCGTGCTGGGGGCTGCGGAAGGGACCCTTGTCTTGGAAAGGGAGCGGGTCCAGGCTACTGCCAGGGTCCCTTCTGGCCCGGAGAGGTCCCGATGCGACAGTCTGGTGTCCCGGCCAGAGAGAGGGCAGCAGGTGTGGTGGCTCAGCCTTGGCTCTGCAGCCGCACAGCTACCTGGCCTTGGGAAAAGCCTTTGTCCCACCTGGGTCTCTGCCTTGTCATCTGCAGGGTGGATATGATGGCAAAATCAGCCATGCCCTTAGCACCCGCTGCCCAGAGCGCCCCGACCTCAGCACTGTGCATACGTTACTGGATTCTCACAGCCAGCTTGGATGAGGAAACGAAGGCACAGAGAGATTGAGAGACCTGCCTTAGGTCACACAGCCAGTGAGTGGCATAGCCAGGACATGACTTGAACAACTCGGCCTTTTCTTGCAAGGGTCGTTGGGAGGATTGGGTGAGGCTGTCCGTCTACACTTCACGATTAGGGCCAGGCCCGGGGTAAACACTGTGATTATTGTCATCATTTTAAGGCTCTGTCCTGAGCTTGGGGACAGCCTCAGGTGTCCCCAAGCCTGCCGTGCAGCTTGGGAGCAGCCACAATGGCGGCAGTGGGGGGAGACAGGAAGTAGCATGAGCTGAGTAGTCAGGGAAGGCTTCCGGGAAAAAGGGCCCAAATGGAGCCTTGAAGGGTGAGCACAGGCAGGAGCACTGGGCTCCTCGTCTGTGGCAGTGGGTTCCGTCCCGTCCTCTCTCCTTTCTGTAACTTGGAGCTCGTTCTCGAGCTGTGAGTCTCAGGAAAGAATGGGGAACGCGGTGCCTGAGCCTCACACTGAGCTGTGGGGTCTCATTTGCTCCCCGCAGTGCCTGGAGGTTGGCACTAGAGCCTCCACTGGACACCTGCAGGAAGGGGCTCGGGGGACAGTGGCCCGAGATGTCCTCTCCTGTGGGGCCCAGCTGGGGCTCAGCCCTGGGCTCGGCAGACACTAAAGCCGGTGTCCCGGCCCCCTCTTCATGCCGAACACCAGTGTTGGAGAGGGGTCGCTCAGACTGGAGTCTTGGGGCGGCGGGAAAGTTGGCTTGGTTCTTACTTGGCAAAGTCAAAGTCCCAGGATGACTCTGGGGTGGGTCACCCAGGGCCAGCGCGTCATCTGAGTAGGAACGGGCGATGGACTGGAAGCTGGGCCCCAGCCTCTCATTCTGTAGCCCTGGGAAAGGGTTCTTGGAGCTGTGGGGCAGCGGCTGTGAACCCCTCTGGGGTCTGTCACGTGATGGCTTGGACAGCTGTCCTCAGATTGGCTCGGCAGAGGCACCGGAGGTCTCACCTACCTCTCCATTTTCTGGGTGGAGAAACTGAGGTCAGCGTATAAAATGACTGCCCCGGGGTCACAAAACCAGCTAGAGGCAGACTTAAAACTTGAAACAAGGTCTCCCAGAGCAAAGATCCAAGTTCCAGAGGTGTGGAGAGCTCCTCAATGAGGGTCCCGGTGGGGCTGCAGGACCTCAGTGTTGGCTGACTCGGCTCTGAGGGCCCAGAGCGCCTCGTGTGCCTACACACACCGCACCCCACATTCACCCGCTTTCCACACCCCACATTCCAGAGACCAGAAGTGTTAGGTCCGATCTGCTTGGCTACAGAGGGACTGGGACACGGGGGCACTGAGTCTTTCTGATTCCCTTCCAGGAGGCAGCAGCCTTGCTGGAGGGTACCCAGCTTGTGCACCTTGACCCCAGGAAGCAGATTTGGACATTCTGGAAGCAGAGTCCGCCCTGCAGGGACACAGGAGGGTGCCCCTGGCTTCCTGTAACAGATAATCCCCTGTCCAGTAGCGGGTGGCTCCTAAGGGCCACGCCTGGCCGTGATCCATCAGCCCCCTCGTTTTGGCAGCAGAGATTCTGTACCCTGGCTCACATCTGAGTCACCTGGGTACCTTAGAAAAGTGTTGTCGGGGTGTAACCGAGGGGTACGACACCTGCATCGCATGTGGGACACGCTGGGTTCCATTCTCAGCACAGCAACAAAACAAAACAGAAACTTGAGATTGCTGCCTGGACCGCACCCCACAAGCTCAGCTGGCCGGATCTGCGGGCGTCCAGTACTGTGGCTTCTGCCAGACCCCTGGGAGAGGCCCATGACTGAGAAGGCAGCACTGGTTGGGAAGGGCAAACGGCTCCCCCACCCCACCCCCGAAGGTGCCTGATGGAGCCAGGAGCTCTGAGTTTGGACCCTGCTTCTGTCACCAGAGCTGTGTCACATTGAGCAACTTTCTGCTCCTGCCTGTGCCTCAGTTTCCCAGTTGGTCCCCTGGGGGGGTCGTCATAGAACAGTGGATTTCACATTCTGCTCACAGAGCCCTCAGAGTCCCCCGCCGGTGATAAAGCAGCTTCTCCTCTGTCCCCTTGGGATGTTTTCTTTGACGCAGAGCTCTGCTCCCAGCAGCCACTCCTGTGATCAGTCCCAGCACACTGCAGCCATGTTTGGGCACGAGCACTGGATGAGGAGTGTGGAACCCTCCCTCCTGGTCACCTCTCTTCTGGGCTTCAGTTTCCCTAGCAGTGCACATCGGCTCCTCCCGTCTTATCATCCCCACCAGATAGATGTAGGCGCTGAGGTTGGGGGAGGCTGAGTCACCCCTCAAGGCCTCACACCTGGTGAACCATGGGGCTCAGGTTTGAACCCAGGCTGCCTGGTTCCGGGGTCCACAGGCTTAACCACCTTGCCACAGCTCCATGGTGGCACCCCTCCTGATCAAGAACCATCACTGGCTCCCCATTACCCAGGGAAGAAATGAAAACAACTATGCTGCAGCCTGAGCTATACTTGACCTCCTGAGGCTCCAGGTGGAAATCCTGTCCCCTAAGAGCTGTGTCCTCTGGGAGGCTGTCCTGGACACCTGGCCCACTTGCCACTGTCTTCTCTCAGCGTTCCCTGCACCGTAATTTACTCTAATGACCCCCTCCCTGTCCTGAGCGGCGCTCCAGGCCTTTCCTATCTATTGCACCACTCCAGACTCATGACTCTCAGTGAGATCAGACATGGGTGTCATTATTGGCCTCACAGAGACCCAGAGAGGCCGACTGATTCCCCCGAGGTTGCCTGGCCGACGCTGTGTCCCCTCTATTCTCCATCTGGGGACGCGGCTCTCTGTGAAGTCCTATTGGGGACACTGCCCCAGGTCCCCTCCTGGCCAGGGCTGCTCCCAGTTTCTTGGGGTTCGCTCCCCAGTGTCTCACAGGGGTGACCCGGGGAGCTGGGCTAAAGGGTGCCTGTGCAGCGCTGGGGGCCAGGGACTGAGTTTTCATGCCAGAAGAGCCGTGGAGGGCAGCCCAAGGGACAACATGGGGCTGGGGACTTCCATAAACTTTACTGGCTGCCCTGGCTGCTAGAGTTCAGTGGCCTGGGGCCGTGAGGCAGAGGGGGCCCTTTCTGCTTGGGACATCTCGGTGTCTCTCTCTGGCTCTGGCTCTGACTCTCACACCTCTGTGTCTCCCAGCCCACATACCCAGGCCAGAGCTGCAGAGGGCACCAAGCAGCCCTGGAAACTTTAGGCTTTGGCAGTAGTGATGTGGGATGACCTAGACTCCAGAACGTTTCGTTAAATTTGAATTCCAAATCATTACTTTTTTAGTGTAAGTGTAGCCTGTATAGTGCATGCGATATACTCACACGAAACAATTTGTCATTTAACTGAAATTCAAGCCCAGCTGGTCATTCTGTGTTTTTATTTGCTGAATCTGGTAGCCCTGCCTGGAAGGAGAAACAGTCCTGTTGCCCCTGACCTGGGGAAGCCTGCACACTCAGGCGTGGTGGATTCCTCTCTTCATAAAAAGCTGCTTTGAGAAGTGTCCTAACACTGTTGGGAAGGCAAAGAGGGTGCCTCGGGGAGCTCCGCCTGCCTCCCAGGGGACAGCTGTGTGAGCTTGCAGGGTTCACTGGCCCATCCCGAGACTCAGTTTCCCCAGGGGTGAGTGGCGGCCACAACCCCTGTCTTGATGCTGAGATCAGAGGAGCCAGTGCACAGAGGGGCCCAGCGGGGCCTGTGTGGCAAGTGTGCAGGAGGGCAGAGCTGGGCAGAGTGTGGATGGAGGAGCCTTAAGGCCTGCTGCTTCTCAACAGTGTGATCTGGGGCAGGCAGGCTATTCACCCTCAGATCCCCAACTGTAGAAGAGAGGAAATACTCGTACCTCCCCGCTAAGATTATGGAGAGAATTTCATGGCATAACGAACACAAAGATACTCAGACAAGGCTGGCACAGAGCACGGGCTCATCCAAGAAGCCTCCTCAGCCCCTCCAGGTAACAGCTCCTCACCCTGTGTGGGTTTCCCACGGAGCCACAAACCCCAGTCCAGAGGCACACGCAACTCCCTGGGCGGATGGGGCCTCAGGTCCCTGAAAGATCCAAGACTCAAGGGCAGTAGAGAGAGCGTCGGGCACCTGCTTCTGCCTGGCAGTGCTCAGGGCACAGCGGGGACCCCGCAGTGAGGGATGAGCAGGCTGGTTTCTGAGCAGGATTCCCCGCTAATGGGAACGGGAGAGACACAGTTCCAGGGTTTTAAACCTCCCATCACTACCTGGTTGTTTAACCAGACCAGGCCAACTTTCCCAGGTGCCTCTGCAGCGCTCTGCACCAGCCTGGGCACGGAGTCGGGGTCCGCGTGCGGACCTGGCTCTGCCGTCTGCTGCTGTGTGACCCGTTTGTTACCAGGCCTCTCTGAGTCTCTGCCTCCCAGGTCAGGCCTCCCCCTGTCAGGTGGGGATGGTGCTGTGTACCCTGCAGACTTGTGAAAGGAAGTGGGAAGGGTAAGCTGTAATACCCGCCGTAGGGTCTCCAAGGACTCCTCATCCCCTGCCAAGCACGGTCGCAGAGCCCCAGGGTGTCCACTCATTGCTGTTGGCTCCGGTTCTGGACCCCATGGAGTTGGGGTGGGTGGCCCAAAGCACACAGTTGGCTCCTGGCTTCTGGGGGGTCCTTGTGGGAGGTCGGAAAATGCACGGGGGAGGTGTCTGTGGCCACGCAGCCTGGAACGCCGGGCTGTGCACAGCTGTGTGCCGGGGTCCTCGTGCCCGCCCGGCCTGGGAGACTGGAGGTGCTTCCGGAAGGAGGCGGGCTGTGTCTTTCCATGTGCTGCATGGCTCCCTGTCCTTCCCAGATCGGTTCCCGAGGGTACAGACACGTTCGAGGTCTATGGAACCCCGGGGGTGGACATCTACGTCTCTCCGCGCGCTGAGAGGAGCCGGGACCAGCGTGCGGACGCCAGACGGTGGAAATTTGAGGAGGGCTTAGAGATCATCGTGGTCATGAACTCCCCCAGCAACGACCTCAATGACAGCCACGTGAGCCACTCCCTGAGGTCGGGTGGGGCAGCCAACGATCGGGTTCCGGGGGGCCCCACAGCCCCTCTAAGGTGCAGGCTCACCGTGGGTGTGTCCAGCACTGCAACTTACAAACCCGGGCCGTGTGTCTCCAGCGTCTGGAACTCCTGTGCCCTCTGTAAGGGGCGTCATCAAAACCCTCCCCTCTGGTGCTGGCACAGGTAGGCGGCAGCCGGCACGTGCTCCTCCTCCCCGTTCGCAAGGCCGCTGAAGATAGGAGTGGCCCAGTTCTGCTGTGCCGGGCCTCAGTTTCCCCGGCTGTAGGCTAGGGAGCGGTTGGTCAGGTGATCTCTGCCTCTTTGAGGGACAGAGAGAGAGCAGGCATGGGAGAGAAGTGCTGCTTCTTCTCAGGAAGATGCCCTGTCCAGGTGACGCTGCCCAAAGCCCCTCGCCTACTCCCGTCCACTCGCCCTGACCCCATTTGTGGCGTTTTGGGACGTTTAAGATGGGACAGAAGTGACGCCCCTCGGAGGGACCAGGAATTGGCAGTGAGAAGCGGCTTCCCATCCCATGTCTTGAGCAGTGTTCTGGAGATCAGTCGTCTAAGGACCACTGGCCGTGGTCACTGGGCAGCTGCCACCTCATCCAGGCAGGGGCTGATCCCGTTCTCCCAGTGAGGCAGCCAACGCTCACAGCCCTGTCCCGGGCTCCAGAGCCTGGACTTGGTACACCTGGGGCAAGTTCCCTGTCACCCCACCTCTGTGCCCATGAATCATCTGAGTCGAGCCTTTCCCCCAGCTCTGTGAGGTGTGTGGGACAGGACTGAACGGACCCATTTTCCAGATGAGGAAACCGAGACTGAGGAGGGGTGTGGCTTCGCTGGCTAGAGGTACCAGCAAGTGGCGGAGTGGGTGGGGATAGGATGATGTGCCCGGAGCAGCATGGGAGGACTGGCCAGCCTGTGAGGGCTCCTCTGGGTGCCCTGCAGAACTAGGGGTTAAGTGGGTGCCCCCCACCTGAGTCCTTGAAGACCGAGGAAGGTCAGAGATCCCCTTCTCTGCCTGCCTTTGGGATCCGAGCAGCTGTAGATCTGGGGAGGAGGCCGTGGTGGGCCCTTGGTACATGGGGAGACGGAGTGCAGGATTTAGGGGCTCCTTGGGCTCTGCAAGATCCTGAGCCTCCAGCTGACAGCAAGACCTCAGAGCCCGAGCCTGGAGGGACCCACATCCGGAGAGCATCCCAGGGGAGCCATGGCCGGAGGGGACTTTGATGTGTCTTCCTCCAATCTCCTACCATCATCCCTGTCTTCACCTGAGCCCTAGACAGTCTTGGGGTGCTCATTGCGCCCAGGGACTGTGATGAGAATGTAGCTACATCCCCAAGTCTTTGTTTGTTGGCTTGTTTTTTATTTTGAGGCCCGATCTCACTAATTTGCTAAGTTGCCCAGGCTGGGCTAGAACCGTCCATCCTCCCACCTCAGCCTGCCAGAATGCTGGGATCACAAGTCGCGCTCGGCTTATGTCCCTGTTTTGTAGCTGAGAAAACTGAGGCGCTCAGAGAGGCGAAGGCCTGTCTTGGAGCGAGGGGTCTTGGCTTCCTCTGGCGTCACTCGGGCCATCTCTTCTAGGTGCAGATTTCTTATTACTCCAGCTGCAAGTCTCTGCCCTTGGCCCGTGCTGTGCTCTACCTCACCTGTGTGGGTAAGTTAAGGCTGAGCTAGGACCGCAGCCCAGGGCCTGGCCAAGGGCAGAGAGCTGGTGGTCAGCAATGAATGATACTAACCAGGGTCTTTATGAAAAAGTCAATTTCTTTTATTTTTTTAATTAAAGAAAGACGTACATTAGAAAATTTCAGGAGTACAAAAGAGTACACGCTGAAAAATGAGCCCAGCCTTTCAGTTCCCCATGGCCAGCATCCTTCTGAGATGAACGCTTGTTAGAACAGCCTCCCTTTCTGTGAGCAAATAGAAACACTCCATAGAACAGGAACTGGACTTTGCTTTTGTCAACTGAAATGTTTACTGCAAATTCTCCACAAATGATGTCCTGTGTAGAATGTGTGCAAGAGTACTCATGTGCGGAACTGTCAGACAGGAAATGTCAGGTAACCCTGATGCCTGTTTTAAAGGATTTCATAGAAAAAGTGACAACACGCACAAACAGACGGCAGTTGCAACAGATGAACAGTGCAACAAAGGTCAAATGAAAATGCAAGAAAGAAAAATTAGAGTGGCACAGTAGAGAAAAACAGCAGACTTGATATAGCTGAAGAAAGAATTGGTGGACTTGAAGACAGGTCGAGAGAATTTACCCAAACTGAAACACAGAGAAAAAACTGAAATAAAACAAAACGGAGATGGGAGGCTCTGAATAGTATCAGATGGTCTGAACTCAGTGTAATTTCTATTAAAATGCCAAATGGCTTTTCAGTAGAATTTTATAAAGCTGATCCTAAAACTCACAGGGAAGCACCAATGGCAAGACTTGTCAAGACAATTTTCAGAAAGAACAAGAAGGGTTCATAGTACCAGATATCAAGACTTTTTCAAGCTCTAGTGCTTAAAGCAACATGACTTTTGTGCAGAGTTAAATACATAGACTAATGGCACAAATAGAGAAGCTGGAGGTGATTCAGGCTTCTGCAGTTTATCACAAGAATAAAAGAACTTGGAGCCCTACCTCACACTATACTCAAAAAACAATTTAAAGTTCTCAAGATAGCCGGGCATGGTGGCACACGCCTGTAATCCCAGCACTCAGGAGGCTGAGGCAGGAGGATCGCTGTGAGCTCCAGAGCAGCCTGGGCTACATAGTGAGTTCCAGGGCAGTCTCAACTACATGGTGAGACCCTGTCTCAAAAAAACCAAAACAACAACAACAACAACAACCAAATGCAAAGCTGTTTAAGTAATCGAGAGTTGCCAAGGTTGTGGGCCTGGGGATCTCCTTCTAGGGGTACAGGTGGAGGGGCCTGCATTCATACAAGCACCTGGAAAGCAATTGGCCAATAAGTTGCAAATGCTTTCTCAATCGGTGGCTTTTGCAGAAGCGGAGCTCATGGGTTGAAGGGGAAGCACATTTTAAATGTTGATGCATAGTCTCAAAATGATTGCACCACATGATGTATCGGTCCGTAGGGCACGGGGGAAGCTTGCTTTCCGCACAGTAGCAGCCTTTGCTGCTGCTTCTCGTCTCCTCGCTGCCTGAATTTGCCTTTCTTTGGTTAGGGGTGAGGTTGGGTGTCCACCTCCAGCCCTAAACACAGGCCTCTCCAACCACAGTTCCTTTCCTCCTCTGGAGACAACCACTGCTTTGTGGCCCACATTTCCTTGCTGTTCTTTACGGTCTGCTCACCTGAACATGCACACCAGGTGGTAGAGTCCGGTTGCCGTCTGAATTTCCCACAGAGGAATCATGTTACTGGCGCCCTTTTTCACTGGGCTTCCAGGGCTCACATCCATCCATCCCCGCACGGTGTCAAGTATCTTTTCACGTATCGAAATCATTTATGAAAATCTATTTCTCTCTTCTCCAAGAGCTCGGGAGGTTTTTGTAGATGCAGGAAGACTGGTTCTCCCCCCTTGAATATTCCACTTGTAGAGCAAGATCTCCCCCGGTTTCCTGGGGGAAGTGTTAAGTTGGGTTGCAGGGCAGGATGAGGAGAATGGGCTGGGAGTTGGGGAGTGGGAGCAGCTGCCAAAGCAGAGGTTCAGAAAGGCCACACAGCCAGCAGATTCACTTCCGGGTCAGTCTGACACCAAAGCCCAGACCCACTGTCCCATTCCAAGATGAGACAGTTTCACATAGAACAAGAATGTGCTGGAACGTGGGCTCAGTGCTGAGTGTGCCCCAGCCAGCAAGGGCCTTGGGGATCCAGAAGTCGGAGCCATCAGGAAGGCTTCCTGGAGAGGGCAGGCTTTGGCCTCAACCTTTGCTCCAACCCCCTGACCTCCCCAAGGGCTCCTACAGTCCAGGGAGAGAGGCCTCAGAGTCCTGCCTCTGGGTTGTGTCTGCTGGGAGATGAAGTACATATGCCCAGTCCCACACAGGCCCTGAGATGAAGACTGAAGACGGAAACCTTGGCCTTTCTTGGGCCTCTGGGCACCTTGTAGGAACTCACCTGCCACCTCCTCCCACAGATATCGCCCTGGACTGCAACCTGAACAATGAAGGCAGGCAGGACAGGAGCTCTGTGGACAAGGTAGGCTTCTCACCCTGGCCTGGACAGGGGAAGTGGAGTGTGCAGCTGGGGTGTGAGAGGAGAGCCCATTGCAGGTGTGCCCTGCCTCTGCCTCCCAGCAGATGCCAAGGTCAGGGGGAGCCAAAGAGGACCAGGGCGGGGTGGGGGCTGGTCTCTGACCAGGAGAAATATCACTGGCTAAAACTATCAGGCACAGAGGTTCCCAGCACCGGACTGAGCCTTGGCTGGTCAGAAGAAAGTTCTGGAATTATAATCTAGGTCAAGTGCTAGCAAAGTTTTTTAAAATAAAAGCCGTAGAGTAAATATGTCAGTCTTTGAGGGCCAGACTGCCTCAATTCTGCCAGTGTAGTGTGAAAGCAACCATAGCCAAGACAAACTAGTGATATGGCTATGTTCTGATAAAACTTTATTTATACTCTCAGGTAGTGAGCAGGGTTTGGTCTCCGGCAGTAATATGCTGACCTTGAACTAGGGGAACAGCATTTCTACCAAGTATGAATGTTAAACATCCTCGGGCCCAACTGTAGTGGCACTAAATGCATTGAGAGTTCAGAGGAGAAAGTCGAGGTGAAAGAGGGAGCAGAGCAGGCTTCTCTGGGAGCCCAGGAGGGAGGGCATTCTGGGTTTGGGAACAGCCAAGGCATAGAGGGAGGTGTGGAGGGATGAGGTGGTGTGTGAGACGCGTGTCCTCGCAAGCAAGAAGTTGTCTGTAGAGAAATGCCACATGGTCTAGAGGCAGCTGTACCTTGGACTTGATGGTGTGGGCACTAGGGAGCCACTGATATTCCTTGAGCAGGATGTGCTTTGGTGAAAGTGGACCTCTCCTCACAGGGCAGGATGAAGGCTCAGGAGTTTTTTGAGAGTCTCTGGGAAGGAGGTGTGGGTCTGGTCTGCGCCCCCTTCACTGGCTGTGTTTTCCCATTGTAGCGGCAGTGGGTCTGGGGGCCTGGTGGCTATGGAGCCATCTTGCTGGTGAACTGCGACAGGGACGATCTGGACTGTGACGTCCCAGACAACCGTGACCAGCACGTGCGCTGCCTGCAAGGTGAGGGACTGGGGCCGCCTGGGTCCCTTGGTGTCCAGGTCATCACTGTGACGCCACAGGCCAAGCTCCCAAGGTGGGACTGGGGGCCCTCTGGCCTGCCCTGTGGTGGCCCCCACACTGTGAGTCTGTCCAAGGCAGTGATGCCCTGGGGAGGGGCAAGCGGTGTCCACACAACGCTCACGGCCACGTCCTCAGCGACCTTGGAGAGGGGAGCACTTTGGCCGCCGGACAGGAGTCCCCTCGTGTCACAGCCTCGCCTGGGCTATACCAGGTGGTTGAATTTAGCTGACTTCGCTCCAACACCTCTCTGGTGCCAGGCACGGGGCTGGCTGCTGTCGTTTCACACCTCTGTCGTCCCCTGAGTCACTTCCCCTCCACCTGGCCTCACAGATCTGGAAGACATGTCCGTCATGGTCCTGCGGACCCAGGGCCCGGCCGCCCTCTTTGAGGACCACAAACTTGTCCTCCACACCTCCAGTTATGACGCCCAGCGGGCACGGGTCTTCCATGTGTGCGGTGAGTCCGTGCCAGGCCCCAGGTGCCAGGCCCGGGAAGCCTCTTCACCTGTACGGGGCAGCTACGCAGGCTGTGCTCGTGGCCCAGCAGTCCGACGTGCGGCTGCTTATGCAAACTCAAATGTATATTTTCGTAGCGACCGTGCCTAGAAGTGGGACTGTGGCTAGGGGTAAAGTTCCTTTGTGGATTTTGGAAAGTGATACTACTCGCTCTTCCCGCCTGGGTACCACGCCTCCTTCTTGGCAGGGGAGGGTCTGTCAGAGCCTCAGGACCTGTGGGTGAGGCGAACATCCGCGTGCTCCCCTCCCACGCCCCCGCTAGGCCCCAAGGACTCCTGTGAGGCCTACAAGTGCGTGCTGGGCCAGGACAAGGTGTCGTTCGAGGTGCCCCGTCTCCATGGAGACGAGGAGCTCTTCTTCATCGAGGGCCTCTGCTTCCCCGACGCTGGCTTCCAAGGGCTGGTCTCCTTCCATGTCACCCTACTGGATGACTCCAACAAGGTAAGGGCCGGCCAGGGCAGAGAATGAGAAACAGGCCCTGCTGGCGGAAAAGACCCCAGGCCCCTTTGCCACCCCGCTGGCTCAGCTCCATCGCGCAAGGGGCTTTCTTAGGGATCGTGGCGATAGAGCCATGGACTGAGTCTGGTGCTCGGGCTGCCTCCTCAGGACTTCTCCGAGTCCCCAATCTTCACCGACACTGTGGTCTTCCGGGTGGCACCCTGGATCATGACGCCCAGCACCCTGCCGCCCCTGGAGGTCTACGTGTGCCGGTGAGTCTGGGAGGGGACAGGGGTCCTTGCCCCGCTGGCCCCTTGGGCTCCCAGGCCCTGCCTCTGAGCTGCTCTCTGGGGCTTGTTCCCAGTGTGAGGAACAACACGCGTTTTGTGGAAGCCGTGGAGGAACTGGCGAGTAGGGCAGGCTGCAAACTGACCATCTGCCCACAGACTGAGAACCGTAACGACCGCTGGATCCAGGTAACCACGGCCACCAGGCCACCATCCCGCAGGGAGGGGCTGGGCAGCCCTACGTGGGGCTGCCGAGGAATGGACACCTAGGAGGACCTGAGGCTTCAGGACTTTTGCTGCCCTTTTCGGTTCGAGACCTAGAGCCTCACTCCAGAAATCTCTGGAGACCTAGGTACACACTGTTGCTAGATTTGATCCCCACTGCCTGGCAGATCTGGGCCAGGCACAGCAGGGCCTGAAGGGATGGCCAAGGTGTGGGTTCACGTTGCCTGCCCTCGACGGCTGAGCTAGGAGGCAATTTTGGTTCCCCAAGCTTCACTGGCAGTGTGTGGAGACTTTTTTGGGGGGCAGTTCTGAAGACTGAACCTAGGCCTTCACTGAGCTACAGTCCCAGCTCTTTTTTTTTTTTTTAAGACAAAATCTTGCCAAGTCACTAAATTGTCCAGGTTAGGCTTGAACATTTTATCCTCCTGCTCTGCCTTGCTGGCTAGCTGTGTGCTTTGGAGAGACAGCTGGACCTCTCTGGTCCGCCCTTTCCTCTTCTGACCTGACGGGCTTGCCATGAGGGTTAGTGGAGTTAGGGTGTACAAAGGCTCAGGGTGGGGCCGGGTGCACCTCTCTACATCCACCCTGTCTGGCCCAGCACAAGACACCTGAAAGTCACATCCGTGCTCTCGTTTGCTCTTGCTGCGTGGCCTCAGGCAGGTGGATCCCCTCTCTGGGTACCCCCAGGCAGCAGACATCCTGATCTCTGTCCTTCCCGCCTCCGAGGGCAGAGAGGCCCGAGAAGGGGGTGCAGCCTTCCTCAGGGGGTTCAGCACCACACCCGTGGGGAGCTGCGGCCATCCACAGCGGGTGTCTCTCCTCACGGCAGGATGAGATGGAGCTGGGCTACGTCGAGGCACCGCACAAAACCTTCCCGGTGGTCTTCGACTCCCCAAGGAACGGGGAGCTGCAGAAGTTCCCCTACAAAAGGATCCTGGTGAGTGGTCAGGGCCATAACCCCGAGGGCTGTGCTAGAGGGAAGAGCCCAGGGAACAGAACTGGGAGCCTGTCCTTTAGGGGTGCTTAGGGTAAGGACCCTGAGCAGACCGCTCTTAACATGAAGGTAGGAGCGAAAAGTGGCTTTTAATGCTGGCGGTTCATTGAGTGACGCCCGTCAGTCTCGAGACCCCAGATAGAAGTCTGTTCTTTTTGCATCTACGAGGCTTACTAGTTGGAGCTTCCCTGGGAATGTAGCAAGCAGGATTTACACAATGCCGAGCAGTGGGTGTGGGGGAGAAGAGCAGAGAGTTCTGGCGGGATTTTCTGAGTCTGTTAAGCTCCTTCGGTGACAGATTACAGAAGTTGTCATGGTCAATGTCAGGTGCACTCCACAAAGAGCACAGTTACCTAGTTAACCCATAGTTGCCTAATAACGCAGTTAAGCCACAGTTGCCCAACTCCATCCGGAAGGGGTGGTCTCCTCTCTCAATGGGAGTAGGGGTACCAGGTACAATATAGGCAATGCCCAGTTAATTTTGAATTTCAAGAAGCAACGAGTAGAGCCAGGCGTGGTGGTGCACGCCTGTAATCCCAGCACTTGGGAGGCTGAGGCAGGAGGATCGCTGTGAGTTCCACAGCAGCCTGGGCTGCATAGTGAGTTCCAGGTCAGTCTCAACTACATAGTGAGACCCTGTCTCAAAAAACAAGAAAGCAACAAGTAACTTTTTGCTATAAGTATGTCCCAAACATTGCATGAAATAGACATACGAAGCAGAGTGTACTTACCTGCAATTCAAATTTCGTGGAGCATCCTGTCTTTTTATTTACTACATCTGTCAGCCCTAGATGGAGGATGCAGGACATAGGGTTGGGATCGGGATGACCCTGCTCTGTCCTTGATGGCATCTCATGTCCTTCTGAGAGATGGCCCGGGGGACTCTGGCTCAGCAGGCTGTCCTCAGCCTCTGGACCCCAAGGCAGCTCTTCTAGAGTCTGATAGGGCTGCAGAACCAGGCAGCCTTTCTTCTGTTTCTATGACCAGGGCATGACTCTGGCTGGCAGGGCAGCAGGGTTACAGGGCCTGAGTGTCTCCCACCTTCGACCCCAGCACATGCATGAACTGCTACCTGGGACTCAGAATCTCCACTTGAACAATGGGTGGCTACTCCCAGTCCATCTTTCAGGAGCCCAGCAAGTTGGTCCAAACTCTTCCTGGTGCTCGCCGCCTCCTGACTCAGCTACCACCTCCCCAGGGTATAGATTTTGGCTACGTGACCCGGGAACCACGGGACAAGTCTGTGAGTGGCCTGGACTCCTTCGGGAACCTGGAGGTCAGCCCCCCAGTTGTGGCCAACGGCAAGAAGTACCCCCTGGGGCGGATCCTCATCGGGGGCAACCTGCCTGGGTGAGCGGGCACAGAAGGGTTTCTGGGAAGAGGTGGGGTGGGGTGGGGAGCCACCCATCCTCGGGAGGAACCGGAATAAAGCAATGCTGCTGAAGTCCTGGACGTGTTGGGTGGTGGGCTGTGCACAGACTGTCTGTACCTGCCTGGGCAGTCTGAGAAGGCCAGAGGGAGCAGGGCCCTACAGGGTTCTACGGCTGGACCCAGAGAGAGTAAGTCACAGAGAAAAGCAAATTGATGAGTAGACTCGGGTCTTCTGACTCTGAAATACATAGCTGATGCTGATAACAGAGCCTATCAGTTAATAAAAGGAGAAAAACTTTTTTTTTCTCCCAACAGTCCTGAAAAAAAGCATTTAAGTCAAAGCTTGTTCATATTATGATGTAAATGACTAATACTGGATCTTTTCTTGAGAGCAGAAGGGAGGTATGAGGGTGAGAAACAGGTGAGGCAGGAAGAAGGGAGAGAGAGAGAGAGAGAGAGAAAGTGAGTAGCTCTTTATTATCTGAGGTGTGCTGCAGAAATGCCCACAGCAGAGGAAAGGAATGAGATCATAGTGGTTCTTTGCCACAGAGACCACCTCAAATACATGATCCCCAGAAAGGAAATTGGGGCCGTGCTCCTAGCTGCTTCCTCAGCGGGCAAAAAGGAAGAAGATTTAAATTCACAAACAATGGCTGGGTCTGTGAGGCCGCTCGGGTCACCCCACCCACCTCTCCCCACGGACAGCCAGGGAGCTGAGGCTACAAGGAGAGGTCTGAGTCAAACCCGGGGAGTCACTTCCTGGAATCGGGGTGAAGTCAGCCTTGGGAGGTCAGGGTCTCAGGGGCCCTGAGGGTTCCCCTGGGTGTCAGGACCTTCTGCGTCCTCGCCCCGCTGTGACCAACCGCTCCCCAGCCTGCCTCACCCAGAGCTCTCCTGAACAGAATTTAGAACACATATTGTCTTACCTTTCCTGCTTACAAAACCCACGCATTTTTATAAAGTCAGATACCACAGAGATTGTGACCTCTGTCACTCCACGTCTGGACGGACTTTTTCTTAGCTGGATACCTTTTCCAACCCTGCGGGCCAGGTCAAAGGGCCGCAGGGTCACCCAGGTGGTGCGGAACTTCCTCCACGCCCAGAAGGTGCAGCCGCCCGTGGAACTCTTCGTGGACTGGCTGGCCGTGGGCCACGTGGATGAGTTCCTGAGCTTTGTCCCTGCCCCGGATGGAAAGGTGAGGCTGGGGACGTACATCTGGGGCGGGGCTGAGCTCGGGGGCCCTGGGGTCCCGGGGACTCAGCTGGTCTGTTCTCCACACCCAGGGCTTCCGGATGCTCCTGGCCAGTCCCGCTGCCTGCTTCCGGCTCTTCCAGGAGAAGAAGAAGTGGGGCCACGGCAGGGCCCTCCTCTTCCAGGGAGTCGTCAGTGGGTAACAGCGCATGTCCCCAGTGCAGCTCGCCCGCCCGCCCCTAAATGAGGACACATTATGGCTTCGGAGAGGGGAGGCCCCAGAACCTCACACCTCGCCTTGCCAATCACCACTGCCCTTGGTTGAGCTGAGGCAGGAGCAGGGCGGGACCCTAATCCTGGGTGGGCACGGAGAAAGTGGGGACAGAGCCCGCTGTGACCAGTACCATCACACTAGGCCCGCTGTCCAGAAGGCCCAGAGCCCGAGGTCTGATGTGCTGCAGTCTCTGTCTCGAAATCTTAACCATGACCCTGCCACCCTCCACCCCCAGCGGCAGCCGGGTGTCGGGCAGACTGGGCACACAAGCCCTCGGGGCCTCAGGAGCGGCCTGTTGCCAGTTGTCCCCGCTCAGCTGTTACGGTGTTACAGTGAGCAACATGGCAGGGACAACCCCTCTCCGGCACACCCCGACAAAGAGGTCGTGTTAGTGGCGGCTTGGGGTGGCAGGGCCGTGGGAAACACAAGTGCTGTCGGCAGGACCCCCAAAGCCGGCACAGTTACGGGGGCCTCAGTGGCGCGAGGTGGCACGGCGTGGCACATGTACTCCAGTCGGGGCCAGACACCTTGCACAGGAGCACGGTATCAACTAGCAAATTAATAACACCGCGACAGGTCAAGAGAGGGACGGAAGGAACAGCTTTCTACTTGAGTGCTTTTCTTTCTTTGTGGTCAGAGCTATGGACCTCACCCGTGCCGGGAAAGCCTCTTCCACTGAGCTACACCCCAGCTGGTAGTATTTTTGCGAGGCAGGTGGCGGAACCACTAGCTAAATCCCTGGCTCAGCCCAGAGTATTTTAATGGAAGTTTTCCTCTGCTTTTTTGAACACAGAGCTGAGTGGTCTTGTTTTGCACTAGAGGAACTGGGAGGGGCGGACTGGCTGGGCAGCAGTGGGTGACCTCATCCACCCCTCTCTGTCCCCTCGAAATGCTGTGAGTCCCAGGACCCTTCCTTTGATCTGGGACCCCGGGGGTCTTTTGCCAGAAGAACCCCAGGTTTTCCTAGTCCTGTGACCACCTGTGAGGACCAAACACCGCAGAGAGAAAAATTTAGAAGCCTCCGTGTATAATAATGTCCAAGTATCTTGCTCTCTGCTTCTTAACGTCACCCAGCAATGATACAGAAGATTTATTTCCCTGCCCATTGCTCCCAAAGGGGCCATCTCATGATTCCTTTGAACCCAAGTTAAATCTTAAAACTCCTCAAATCCAGATTCGATGTGCCAGTCTGTGGCTGGGGTGCGGGAGACCGCTGTGCTTTTCCGAGACAGCCAGGCTCACCGTGTATGAGCAGAACCTATCTCCTGTCCAACCTCCTGGCTGGGACCCACACACAGGAGCACCCTCCTTTCCTTTGGTCAAACCGGAGCCCTGTGTGAGCACTGGGCTCATGGAGTCCCTCCCGCCAGGGCTATATTCCCTTCGGGGAGTCATCTGACCTCTCTGAACCTCAGTTTCCTCACCTGCTGAGTGGGGGAGGTGCCCAGTGGCAGGATCAGGGTTAGGTGAGAGGCTGAACGCACAGCCCATCTCCATGGGCACCGCCAGGTGGGCAGGAGACTGGGCCATTGGAGGCCGCTGTGCCATGAGTCACCTCACACAGGGCAGGCCGGGGCCTGCTGGTGTGGGACTCCCAGGACTGGCTGGTCAAGTGCTCCTAGAACCCGTGAGGCCGGCCCGGAGGGCAGACAGCGTGGGCCCAGCTCCCCATGAGCATCTGCTCATACGGGTCCCTCAGTGCCCTGGGGTGGCACTTAATTAATTTCCAGCTAGGGCACTGGCACCTCCGAAGAATTCAGAGTCACTGTGGCTGCCAGTGCCCCACCCCGGTCCTGCTCTCCGGCCGTGCCCACTCCGCGGGTCTTGCCCACTCTGTGTCTGGCAAAATCAGAGAGCGGCTGGCCCAGCCAGACCAGTGGCTGTGAACTTGGCCTCTGCCCGTCTACTTCCCCCTAACAGGTGCCTGTCCTTGCCCTCTATGTCTCTCCACAGGTGACAGGCGGGTCAGGACCATCTCCATTGACCAGGTCCTTTCCAATGGAAGCCTCATCAGCTTTAATAAGTTCGTGCAGGTACAAAGGCTGTCAGCAGCCGCGTGCAAAGTGGGCAGGGCTGGGGACATCTGAGGCTCGCGGTCACAAAGGCTTAGGTTGGAATGGACCTCACTGGGGCTCTCCAGTGCCCTGCTCCGACTTGAGCCGTATGCACCCCAGTCACAGGTGGTGACGGCTGTGACCAGCCATCGGTGTGACGTTGAGCGCAAGGAGGGACTCGGGCCTGGAGTTGGATGTCTGTGAGGGACGTTATCAAGGCCACGCTGTGAGCAGAGGAGGAAGCAGCACGAGACCAGTCAGCAAGCCACTGCCAGAGGGGCTGCCTTGAGCAGCAGAGGGGAAGGGGGCAGATCTGGGGTGGGTCTTAAAGGCGGCGCCCACGAGATGTGCTGCAGGGCGGGGATGGAGCGAGAGGGAGGAAGACATGGGGACACAGCGAGGCTGGCAGCGACGTCCGGAGAGCGGATTCCAGAGGCCAGAGACGGGAGCTCACCTCTGGCGGCGTCCCGTGTTGTTAGGTGTCCGGCAGCGATGCACAGTAGGCGATGATGCCTACAAGTCTGAGCTCAGGAGAGAGATGGGGCTTTACAGAGAGGCGGGGCGACGGGAGTGTGGGTGTCATCATGTATAGATGGTGTTCACACCACAAGACTGCGTGCGCTCTGTGCAGGAGTGGGGCACCTGGAGAAAAGGGCCCAAGATGGAACATTCTAGAACATTCTCAGGGTTAGCCCAGCTAGTGGGATAGGATGGATGTACGGGGTGGGAGACAGGCCGTGGATATTTTGATCACAGGGCACAAAGATGAAGTTTTATGCACAATCTGTGGATACGCAGACACCCTCTTCCTCCTCAACCACATGTGACCCCTTGGTGTCCTCAGTATACGCTGGCCAGGCCTCCCTAACTCAGCCTTTCCCTCCCCCCAGAGCTGCATCGACTGGAACCGGGAGGTGCTGAAGCGGGAGCTGGGCCTGGAGGATCCGGACATCATCGACGTCCCGCAGCTCTTCAAGTCGGAGCAGAAAAAGGCGATGGCCTTCTTCCCTGACTTGGTGAGGCGCCTGGGGCTCCCCTAGATGAGGCTCCAAGCCCCCGCTGCTCAGGGGAGAGAGCCAGAGGGAAGGGTGAGGAGACTCGAGGTCCCCTGGTATCCAGGCTGACCCCGTGACGTCCGCTGGCTGATCGCCCCGCTTGACACTCGCGGAGGGACTGAATGACAGCATGAGGTCACGTGTACAAAGCATGTGGCATCTTGCAGCTCAGGGGCCTGTTTGGCTCCCGTCCTCCCATCCCGCAGCTCTTCGTTACCCCGCACGATTCAGGTGTCCCTGTGGGGGTGCGGGGGTGACCCGGGATGGTCCCCGCTCTCCAGGAGCGTCACTGGTCTGCTCAGGGAGACACTCCTGTCCTCGCCTCCCTGAGGATGTGTCCTAGCCATCGACTCCATATAATAAAGTGTGTGGCAGTTTGGCTGTGGGACAGAGCCCTGGTTGCCCGAGAGGTGGAGTAGAGATTCTAGAAAACTGGGGGAGGAGGGCTTGGATGGAGCCTCGCAGCTTTGCTCCTGGGGTCTCTCGTGAGCTCGGATCTGAGTATCGGGGACCACTGGGGCCTGGGGGAGGGTCCCAGGGATGCCGCTGCTCTCTGAACAAGTGCCCGGGTGGCCCTGCCTTCGGGCCACCCTCTCTTCCTGCCTCCTCCCTCCCCGCTCCCCTCCGCCCTCTGGAGGGCTCAGGTCCCCCTCACCAGTGCTGTGGGGAGCCTGTCCGCACCACTGTTGCTTCATTCCCTCTTTTCCTTCCGCCTCTGGCTTTGCCCTCCCTTGCCCAGCCCCCCATCACCCACTAGCTGGCTTGAGCCAGAGGACTTGACAGAAGGACCTGAGTCCCGAGGGCAGGGACAGGTGCAGCAGGGCCTCCACAGGCCTGGCAGGGGCTTCTGTTTCCGTGTCTACATGATCCTCTCTCCTTCCTCTTCTTCCTCTCCCTCCAGCTTGACTCTGCAGCCCTGCCCTGGGGAGAGATGTGAGGACGGCCATGCACTGTAGTCCATGCACGGGCACAGGCTGGGACTCTCCCATTGTCAATGCCAAAGCCCTAGGAGAGGGAATCTGACTGGTCCATCTCTGGCAGACATCTACCCTGGTCCAGTCACCCGTGGCCTAGGATGCTGGGATTCTGTAGCACAAACACGGTGGCCGCTAAGGTGCACCAATCCGATGGGGAAGCAGTTGCAGAGAGTCCTGAAGGGGAGCTCTGCAGAGCTCACATAGGCACTGGCTAATGGGCTCCTACTAGCCCCGTTCTCCCCCACAGCCCAGAAACGGGCCAGTGGCTGTCTTCAAGGCTGCCTTCAAGGTCCTGCTGGGTAGATACAGGTGTGTGGGTGGTGGGGCGCCGATGGTGAAGAGCTGAGCCCCCACCCCTCTGCAGGTGAACATGCTGGTGCTGGGCAAGCACCTGGGCATCCCCAAGCCCTTCGGGCCGGTCATCAACGGCCGCTGCTGCCTGGAGGAGAGGGTGCGCTCGCTGCTGGAGCCGCTGGGCCTCCACTGCACCTTCATCGACGACTTCACCCCCTACCACCTGCTGCACGGGGAGGTGCACTGCGGCACCAACGTGCGCCGGAAGCCCTTCGACTTCAAGTGGTGGAACATGGTGCCCTGAGCCCGCTCCTGCCCACTTCTCCCCTGGGCAGGGCGTGGGAGGCCGGCCCCCACAGAGCGAGCAGCTAGAGACCCCCAGGTTCCAGAGGCAACGCTGAGGGTGACCGTCCCCTCAGAGGCCTCTGCCCTGCAAGGTTCCATGCCTACCTGCAATCCGTTTGCCTTCCAACATGAATTCTGTCGGCCCCCGTGTGGATCATCGTGACCCACGGTAACTCCCCAGTCCTATTTCTCACCCGCCCTAAACCTTCTATTTGGCACCAAGTTCACTTTGGGATCTAGAAACATCCTTCTCGTCAGCCCTCCTGTCCTGTGCGTGCTCGCTGAGGAGGGCCTCGGGGTTCGCTTTGGCCTGGTTGCCTCCTGCCCCTCAGGGGAGTGACCCCTAGGGTTCCACCGCTCTGCACAGGGTGGGGTCCATCCATGTCCAAAGCCCTGCCCCCCGCCTGAGCCGTCACAGGGTAGATGCCGCTCGATGGGCATGAATGCAGTGACAGTTGGCTTGGCCTTATAAACGCCCCCAGCATCTGACATTCAGAGAGCCGGCTTTGTCCAAAATCCTCCCAGAATTTCTTGCAAGTGAGGGGATCTGGGGATATTGGAGGTTCAGAGGCCTGGGTCCGAGGACGAAAAGGGCCTTTCGTATCGCACAGAGTTGAACCTGGTGACCACGCTGTGGGGAGGGGAGAGCCTGGCAGATGTGACCCTCAGCCTTCTGTTGACACCCTGCCGTGCTACAGAGCCAGGAGACGCTCTGGAGGGGACAGCGTTGGGAACAAACCTGCAAGACGGGTGTCAGCTATGTGTGTGTTTTGTGTGGGTCCAGCTGGGTTTCCATCACTGGCTAATAAATCAAAAGAAACACACACGGCATTGGGTGTCATTTCGTCTCTGGGCTTAGAGGAAGATGGCAGTGGCGGGGAGTCTCTTACTGTGGCCGTAATTGCTTGCCTGCTGCCTGAGAATGCGGGGCTGGCTGATCAACCACCTGTGAGTAACGTGCTGTGGCTGCTTTGGCTCGGCTACAGAACGAGCCACGGGCAGCTGTGACAATGTAGACTCACGAAAAGCCAGCCTGGGGGACAGATCCAGGTTCCGGGATTTTGTAAGCGAGAAGAGTCTTCTGGGTGGAACTTTGCAGGCTCCTGCGGGGAGAGAGATCCTGGGGGTCGGAGGGCAGACCGAGATCTGGTGGCTTCACATTTCCAAGGTTTAAATGTGGCAGAGAACTTAAACTTGGAGCAGAGAACTAGTTTTTATAATGAAGGTTTTTTTGTTTTGTTTTTTGTGCCGGGGATCAAACTCAGGTCCTTGCACTTGAGAGAGGCATGTGGCCAAACCACGGAGCTAAATCCCCGGCCCCTTATAATGAGGTTTTAATGAGCAAAGCTTACTCTAGGGCATCCAGGTGAGGGGCTGGGCGGCTTTGGCTGGTTTAAACGGGTTCTCTCTGGAAGGTCTCATCAGAAGCAAAGACACCACCTGAGGGGACATCAGCAGCCATTGGGGGGCAGGGTCTTCCCCGGCACACACAGGTACTGGACCCTAAAAGTTTCTGCCCAGCCGCTGGCACCCACTGCAGGGCACCAGGGAGCCTCTCTACCTGCGACCTGTCTAGTCCGCATCCGTCTCCTCAACCTGGAGGACACACCAGCTTCCCCTCGGTCTGCAAAGCCAGCGTCCTCCACACCTCTGGCTCTGGCTCCTCCACCTTCCCTCTCCGCTCACAAGGCCCGGACGACCACACCGCACCCCCGGGGTGAGTCTGGCTGCCCTTCCGCAGGTCGGCCCGCGAGCCCCTCACCACCTGCAGCCCTAACCCTCATTGCCAGGAAGGTCCCCTGCTCACAGGCTCATGGGGTTGGGACGTGGACATCTCCAGGAGGCCTTCCCTCTGCCTGCCACAGCCACCAGCCCCTCTGGCCTCGGTGAGGTGGACATGTGGCCCCTTTGAAACCATATCCAGAGTGGCAGCCCCGAGCGTCTCGCAGTGTCAGCAGGAAGAGAGGTGCAGAGGACCTGCTCCCTCTGCGAGGCTGGGCTGAGGCCTGGGCTCCATGGGCAGAGGCCACCTCCACTGCCACCGCCTTCCCAGCCGCTCACCTAACACTTCCTCGTCCCTCCTGGGGCCTGCTTTTCAGTCTGGAAACCCCAGGGAGACTAGGGCAAGGCCTGGGGTGTCACGGGGGAACTTCTCCCCCACCCCACCCACCGAGTCTGTTCCCACGCTGTGCGCACAGCCTTGACCCTGGGGGAAGGGGGAGCAGAGAGACCCCTCCTTCCACTCGGTGGCCTGGACCCCTTTGAAGTTGGACTGTCAGATGCTGGTCCCATTCTTCCCAGCTGTGCCCTAAGCCCCTGCCAGCCTCTGCTTCCTCCTGTGCGAGATGAGCTGAGCTCGGTACTCCTGCTCCCAGAGCCTACCTGGGGATGTAGCGGGGTAACTCAAATGTCTGTGGCACGGGCATATAGTAAGTGCTTAGTAAATGGCGGCTGCTAGCGGAGCGCGTGGCACACGCTTACAATCCCAGCACCCTTTGCAGAGGTAGAGCACATTTCAAGCCCAGTTTGTGAGAGCCTGTCTAAAAATTTAAGGTAGTAAATAAAAAATTCTGGGGATGTAGCTCAGTGCATGGTTCCTGAGTTCAATCTCTAGTATTGCGAAAAAACAAAAAAAATGTCTGCCACATGACACCCTCGAGGTGTCCCCGGAAGCACTGCGTCAGTACATCTCTGGGTCCTGCATTCTGGAAGGGATGGAGACCCCTTGAGAGCCAGAGGTGAGACCTGGTGTCTAGGGAGGGGGCTGCTTCCCCGCCGCTCCTGGATCCCAACCTGCTGGTCTCAGCTGCATGGGGACAGGAGCCAGGGCTGACCTCGCAGAGGGGACTGATCGCTCTGTGTGGTCGGAGTCCTGCTGTCTTTGGCGTAAGTAACTACAGGGCGTTGGCAGGAAGTGGCCCCACCCTGAGGTTCCCAGCGGCCCCTGGCCGGGGAGGAGAGGTGGAGGCTGGGGCTGTAGGGGAGGATGACTGGACAGAGACCGTGGGAGCTGTTGCTCCCCACAAAATCAGGGTCGCCCCAGGTCCCTGCAGCGTAACAATGCTGAGCGTGAGCAGTGTACATATTGTCGGGCGTGACCCTCCCTTTACCAATGGGGAAACTGAGGCGCAGCGAAATGAGAGAGCTGTCCAGGTCCCAGAGCTAGGTGACCTGTATACCTGAGTGCTTCACCAGGAGCACCGGTGGCCGTCAGCCCATGTGCAGGTTAGGATGACCTCAGCACCTCTTAACCCCAGCAGAGCCACCCCTCCCCAGCCCCTGAGGCTCTGCCTGGCGGTTGGGATGCTGCTCTACGCAGCCTGGTGCCTTTGATATGTAGCCAGGGGAGAGCAGCAGTGACCTACTTAGTGACCCTTAATGTCCTCCTAAGCACCTGCCCCTCCCATAACCTTTGACCCAGAGTCAGCAATCTCAGGGGCCAGAGTCTCCTCTATCCAGTAGTCACTCAGGCTTTGGTGGCACCTTCAGCAACCAGACAGTTCCATTCAAATGGTTCCACTGGGCCAGTGGTGTTTTCTTTGGTTTTTGTTTTGTTTTGGTTTTTGTTTTTTGGAGACAGGGTCTCACTACGTAGTTGAGACAGACTGACCTGGAGCTCACTATGTAGCCCAGGCTGGTCTCGAACTCACAGCGATCCTCCTGCCTCAGCCTCCCGAGTGCTGGAATTACGGGTATGCGCCGCCACACCCCGCTCTAAAAACTTGTTTTAAGGGACAAGATGCAGAATCGTGGGTGCAGTGGGGACACATCAGGGTCACCGTGGCCTTGAGGCTGTTCCCATGGTTTCCCTGTCCCTGCGGACCCAGAGCTGTGCTCAGCCCCTGCCGTCCCTCCCGGTGTCCCTGGTACTCCTCTCCCTGCCGTGCGTGCTGTGGCTCCAGGCCTCACACGCTCATCCACAGCTGCAGGGAGGGGTTGTGTGGAGAGACGAAGAGGTGCAGGGCTTCTTCAGTGTCAGCCGAGCAGGGAGGGAATCCCTTAATCATGGGCTGCCAGATGAAGCCGTTTGCGGAAGTGTCTCTGCTTTTCCTGCTTCCCGGTCCGTGGGTGGGGAAGCAACTCATCAGCCAATAAAAGCTGCCTTTTTATGTGCCAACCTGTACCTGCTTGTTGCTAATGAGGGAGCCCAGTCTCCGGGACAGTCTCGTCTATTTGTTCCGTGTTTATTGAACACATGTCCCGGGCCACAAGTGCCCACAGTGGTGGCACAGAGCAAACGTACCACGAAGTGCTTCCTGGCGTGGCTGTTTGCCAGCTGTGTGACCTTGGATTAGCTCCCAGCCCTCTCTGAGCTGTTAGCAAGATGAAGAAAGTGATTGCACCTGTACTGGGGGGTTGCTGTAAGCCGTGGAAGATCATCAGCCAGGCGCCTGGCACGGTGCCCGGTGCGCCGTGGACGGGAGGACATAACCTGAGGCAGCTTGCCCAAGAACGCTAAGAAGACAGGCGTGTTTGGCTCCATTTTGTGCACAGCCACCTGCGGAGTCTCTTGTCCACTGCAGGTCACAGCTGAACACGTCAGAGGTCCGGCCACAGAAGAACAAAGCAGATCACAGTGTCCCCAGCTGGCCACCACCACGGGCCGGTGGTCCCCGCCCTGGAACCGGAAGACATGTTCTTAGAGGCCAGGGCACGGGAGGCGGCCCCTGCGCTTCCCCCCGATTCTGGGCACCAGGTCTGGGGTCTTCCGTCTCATCGACGTGGTCCCTGGCCGGGGTCAGGAGAGGTGCCCTGAGTCCCTCGAATGGACCGGCTGAGCGTGGCCGGCCTGGGTCTGAGACCTGCCTGGGTCCCGAGCTCCGGGGCGGTGAGGAGCTTCACCAGGCCCACCGTCCAGCCCTCTGAGTGCGGTGTTTGAGGGACTGCAGCACTTCAGCGTGAAAGCTCCGTCAGTCCAGTTCTTTTTTGAACCTCTCTTGGGTCTTTGAAGGAGTCTCAGCATCCTGAGAAGCTGCACCTCGATGTTAATTATCTTAACCTGAAACACCTTGATCGTGGAAATGACAGCTTCCCCAGGCGGTTCCCAGGCTCTGGCAGGCAGGGGCCTGAGCAAGCAGGCAGGGCGTTGTCCAGAAATGAGCGCACCCAGCTCAGTCATTATAGGGTGGATTTTCTATTTACTTAGCTTTGCACTCCCTTGACGCATTCCTGAAGGGAATGGAGGAGACTCACGAAGAGTACGTTCAGCAGATCTCCGATGAACAGAGAAAAATAAAGACACCAAACAACACGGAACAATCTGGGAGATAAAGACCACTAGAATAGACATATACGTAACCGTAAGGCCCATGGTTAAGTGCACAATTGCGGTCTGAGCTTCCCAGAGGCCCCTGTAAGAAGGGAACCAGAGTCCACCCTATAATTCTGACTCCCAGAAGTAAAGCAGACACAGGGATCCGTGCCACACGCTGACCTGTGTAAGAGGTCACGGGGCTGGCAGTGTCCTCAGCCCCTCACAGCAGCAGTTTCAGGGGCAGATCTCCTGGGGCTGAGGCTCTGTGTGCCCGGCTGCACACAGGAAAGGTGTTTACCCTCCGGGCTAGTGGAGGGCTAGACCAGTACTGCGGGAATATAAGTGCCCCACAAATACTCACTTGTTTATTTTCCATCCCCCGTGGGATTAGAGTCTTGGTCATCCTCCTACCGGCAGACATCGAAACCTCAAACCCCTCTGGGCAAAAAGTTCCCCACCTGTGGCATTCAGCTCAGTGTTGGAGTCTGGGGCGCAGGTTCCAGGGATCCATGTGGAACAGGCCTTCCGGGAGCTCACAGATGAGTAGAGAAGCCAAGCACACCGACCCCAGCCCCTTACCACCGTGAGTACATTGTAAGGAAGGAAGTATCAGCAACTCTAATCAGCAGGCGTGGTGGTGCACACCTGTAGTCCCAGCACTCAGGAGACTGAGGCAGGAGGGTCTCAAGCTTGAGGCCAGTGCGGACGACATAGCAAGACTTTGGCTCCCCAAAAAGTGAAAAACAAATACTATATCTTTAAAAATGTGCAAAATCTTTATGGAATGTATCCTACAACTGTACTGCAAAAAAATTAGAGGAGGTCTAATTGACAGA